TTATCCGTGTGTAAGTGGGTTAATTGCTCGACTTTAATGAATTACGCCAGCTATTTTGGCGCTAAGGAATATCGAGTGTCTTGCAATGTTTTTTCTGAAATATTTTCCACACGAGGATATTAAAGCAGGCGCTAAGTAACGACTGCGGGTTGTAAAATAAACAGTACAGATTTATTGCACGAGTATATATAAGAGAGAAACGTACGCGCGCGCACGCCGGCGAACGAGTGCGTTTCTAAGTTCCTCGTTTTAACGAGCGTATTAAGTACGTAACGGGGCCTTCTAGTCGCGAGTCTTGGTCGCTATCGGTGTATCGCGATGGGCACACTCGATAGTTACGCGACCGAGTGAGGATCGCTCGGCACGACGAGGCTAATCTCTAATTCCGTGCTCGCAGACCGGAAAAAATCGACTAATAAGATATATACACATATATATTTTTTTTTCATCACATGCAGTATTCAGGAAATTGTAATTAAATACAAAGAGAAAACTCTCATGCCGTAACCCCTATCAAGACACATTAAATGAGATAAATAAAATATGCGCGCGGGATAATTTAAATGTAAGAAATGACGCTGATTAACATCTTGAAAAAAGAACTAAAAAAACTAGAATGAAAAAATGACTAATGGGAATGATTGACGTTATTATAGTACGATAAGAAACTCGTAAAAAAGCGTGTAAAGAGCTCGGGGTTTCGGGGAGTTTTATAGGTCTTTTATCGCACTGTTAACTGCACTTCGGTTGTGTACGCGCCTTTTAGTTTTCATATTATTGCCTTTTTTTTCTACACTTTTATGTCGCGGTATAACTTCTGAATATCTTTCCGTATCTTATCTGTTATTATAAAATATTTTAAACTTTTTTACCGGTGCTTCTTAATCTTTCGTACGCGAGAGACGTCTATACATTCATGTTCCATATTGAAAAGTTCCATCTACTCAAAATATGAGATTAAAATGTTGTAAATTTGACTATACCTATAGGGTTTAAACAAATTCTTCAAGCTATTCCAACATTAATCGGAATTGCACATCTTGTTCGCGCCAACGTTGCTCACGCTCCCCTTTGAAAAGAAAGTGCACTTGGCTTCGCGAGGCGATAACTCACGCATCGTCGCGCGCTCACTCGCATACACACACGATACGACCATCATCATCATCATCATCATCATCCTCGAATAGACAAGGCGAACGGGAGGGAAAAGCGCCAGGGTCCCGGAGTAAAACGCACCATCCCGTTCCGAGCGCTCGCAATTAAGGGTTAATTAAATTGAGCGGCTTCCTAGATTTCTGTAATCATCGCGGACAGTATCTACAGGGTAATCTTCAGCGCATCCTGTCTGCCTCGAGGGCCCCACGGAAGGAAGGGGCCCCCGAGGTAAGGTCATGCACCCCGCTGACCTCGGACCATCTCTCCTTCTCTCTAGTCCTCTCTCTTCCCCTTCCCGCACTATCTTCTCGTCGTTCCAGCTCGCCTTCTCTCCACCACGCTGCTTCTTCTCCTCTCGCTTTTTCAGACTCTTCTCCAGGCTCCTTCCTCGACCTCTCGACTCTTCTGCCTCCTCCCGTTGCTGCCGTTGCTGTTGCTGCTGCTGCTGCTGCCGCCGCTCCTGCTAACGCTGCCGGCAATCACCCTTGGCCTCGTCCTCTCCCCTCACGATCCTCCGCGCCCTTCTTGCACTCTTCTTCTATACTTCCTTTTCTTCCGTTTCTTCTTCGTCTTCTTCATCTTCTTCGTCTTCGTCTTCGTCTTCGTCTTCTTCTTCGTCTTCTGTGGCTGCTGCTTCCACTATCTTTTTCTCCTTTGCTCTTCATTTTCTTTCTCTCTTCTTTCCGCGCGCCTTTCGTGTGAGAGTACACGACAGAGGCCAGGTGAGTGTATACAGAATTTACGTGCCCTGCGCTCGCAAACGCACTCGAATTATTATCAAAGACCGGGGCATCATCGCAGATAATGGGCGGATGTCGCTGTGACAAGGCAGAAAACGCGACGTCTTCGCGTTTGCGCTCGCGCATTTCTCGTGCGCGTTGTCTATGTTCCTGTGGGAAAAACTGCGCCGCTACTGGCCGACCGAGCCCTCTCTCACTGAGCTCTCGTGCGAATAATCGTGCGCAAGCTTCTCCTTTCGCGAAGTGCAATGTCGCTCACGATATATTCGAGAATGCGCGCCGTGTGTCTGGGAAGTTATGTGTTTTTTATTAAATCGCAGACGAAAGAGGTCTGACTGAAGTGAAGGACGTTTGTTTTGACTTTTGAAATCTTTTTACGTAGAAAGACTTTTATTAATATAATTAAATATTAATTCTTACACAAATTATATTCTTTCCAACTTGCAGCTAGGAAAGCAGTTAGTAATGTTTTTTTCAATTTGTTTATGTTGTGTACCTACTTCGATAGTGTAAGTTGGTATGAAGAGATGTTTTTTTTGAGATTAGAAATATACAGGATGTCCGGAAAAATTTGCCCGCAATACTTTGGAAAGTGATTGGGGATCCAAAATGAAGGAAAAAAAGTTATATAAACATAGGTCCAAAAATAAGTCATTTCCGAGTCACTTTTATGTCCGCTTTAGCATTCTTCATTTTTTTAATTTTTCAATTCTTCATTTTTTATTTCTTAAGTTTTTTTCAATTTTTTGATATTTGTAAATACAATTACATTATCTTTAAAATCAAGGATAAATATAAACAGGTATTTAAATCGAATTAAATATGATGTTCAAAATGATCTTCAGCACGAATGCAGGTCCTTATTCTTCTATCAAAATAGTTCTATTGAAATGAAGTTATTTATGTTAAAATACAATACAATAAAATAAATTATGAGTATTATGATTATGATTATGATTATAAAAAAAATTACGAAACATAAGTGATTAGAAATCGGAAACGACTTATTTCCGGACCTATGTTTATATAGCTTTTTTCTTCTTTTTGGATCTGCAATCATTTCCCGAAGTATTGCGAGCGATTTTCCGAACACCCTGTATAATATCGATTTCTTACGATATACAAGATAATTTGGTAGAAAGTGTGTTTCTTTTTTGCATTACTGTGTTTGATAAGATATATTTTTTTGCTCGACAAACGACACTTGAATGACATGTGATTTACCGGAATTGCGATCGTGGCGCGAGCGCGCTTTGGGGCAGACGGACAGGCCACGTCTTGGACGGAAGTGAATATACCTGAGCAAATCAGGGGGGAAAAAGAGAGAGCCAATGACCAAGAGAGAGAGAGAGAGAGAGAGAGAGAGAGAGAGAGAGAGAGAGAGAGAGANGAGAGAGAGAGAGAGCGAGAGAGAGCGAGAGAGAGCGAGAGAGAGAGAGAGAGTATGTGCGCGCCTCCTCTCCTCCCCGTGCGCGCGGCGGAACAAGGTTAGATGTTATCACGTGCGGCGCGAGTAGCCAAGTTCAAGAACAGAGAAACGTGGAATATGAACGGGCGGGGATAGGCGTGGGAATCTTTCCGGTCTTTCCACGGCTGCAATTAAAAGTTCCTGTGTCGAAAGTCAGCTTGGCACGCTTCGAGACGTACTGTCCTTTAAGCGTGTCGAAACGATCTTTAATCACGTAACTTACATTCCACTCGGAACGACAAACGATTTAATCTTGAAAATTTGATGTGATTGTAGATATAGCCAATTAAATTGAATAAAATAAATATAAAAGATATTTACCAATCGATAATTAGGAATCTCAAAAACCAATCGCTTGATGTACGCGCGTGTGAAATATATGTTTAACAAAAATGCAGGAGATTCGAGTTCGACTTCTAGCCGAGATATAATTTTTTGCAATGGATTTTTTAATTTTAATAGAGGAATATAATGAGTAATTTATATATATATATATATAATCAAAAAATTAAATATCTTAAATGAATTTTTGAGTTGGATTTAATTCGAATTTGTATTTTTATATTAATTTACATGCTTAAAAATATATTTTGCACGCACACAGTTTGATCTTGACATCCTTAATTCTTGTTTAGTTATACTTAATAGGAACTTTTTTAAATATTTGTTAAAAAATATTTGTTTATATACTTATGTAGCATTGTAATGTGCATATTGTATTTGAATTCTGTATAAAAAGTAAAATATTCTCGCGTTGTACTTCAAAATACAACGTCTTAATAATTGTTTTGCATAAAAAAGCGCAAGGAAATGATTCTGGGTTGTACATTTTAATATAAGTAAGATATGTAAAATAAAATTTCGCTGCTCGATCGGAATAGCGCGATATCAAAAATTACGGAAATTCGACTTATAATCCGTGTGACGGAGAGTTTAACAGGTGATCACAGCAAGTCGCAAAAATTATATGTAATTTTCATCGGCGATGGTTCTCCGCATGTGTCGCGACTGAACGTGCGGCTTCTTACCTGATAATCATGAAAAAAAAACAACGTTGTTCGCGAACTGTAAAGTAAATAAAATTGAATTTCACATCAGTGCTTCTGACACTTGAAATAATTCAAGAAGCAGATTCGAAGACACGCGAAATTCTTCAGAGAGTAGTGCGACAAAAAAACGAAAGACATTTTATCTATTTTGCTCTTAATTGTTTGTCACGCGTGTTTGACGTGCTGTTTTAACCTTTATTCATTAAAATACTGGAGAAACATCGCTTTGCTTTAATTTTTTTGTCTTTTTATTGCAAAAGACATGTAAGCACATAAATGACTAAACAAACAGATCTCAGAAAAAGTGTTCCAAGCGCTTACTTTGTTACATGTTCATGGTTTTTGCGATTTATTTTAGAAGATGTTCAATATTAATTTAAAAACACTTAAAAACTTTTTTCGAAATTAATGTTTTACCTAAAAACTTTTTTGATAAATTTAAGAAATTTTTTTGAAAAAAATGACACTTGTAACCTCGTTTTCCAAGAACTTCGAACATATCATCAACAAATTTTGGCGGCCTCGATATAATCACCAGTTGAGATCTGTCGCTAATAATTCGTAAAAAAGGGTCAGTACACTTCATACCTTCCCGGCGCATGCCCATCTTCAGGCACTTTTTCAAGCGGCAAAATTGGCACTGGTTTCTATGGTGTTGGTCAATGGGACAGTTTCTGCTCCCCCGACACGAGTACGTCAGATTCCGCCTGACGCTCCTCTTGAAGAAACTCTTGCAACCTGAAAAAAAAAAAAAAAACACAAATCAAAAGTCTATATATATGTCTGCTAACTCTTATAAAATCTGTTTGCATATTAATTTTGTAGCAATATTATGCGCATAATTTACGTGTAAATATTTATTTTGTTACCAAATACTCGTTTACGATTGTTCAAGCCGCGCTTATTAGTGCATTATCCACTTACGAGTCTTTAAACTTTCGAATGATTTGGATAAAAAAATTGCAAGTAATTTTTTTCTCATTAAGTGGTAGAGTCTAATTGCTTTATTTAACTTATAATATCCGCAGATTATCAGATAATCCAAATCAGCAATTTATATCGTCTAACTGTATTTCTTTCCCATTTTCTAATTACGATATGGCGCTCAATCTCATTGAAATCATGTTGAAATAGCCGCGTCAGCAGAAAATCTATTTTCTACTGTAAATTCTGCAGCCAATTTAAATCTCAATACCTCAATAAAACTTTTCTCATTAATATCATGAGCGATAGTATCTTCGAGTCCACAATCTTTGCGCATAAACTCTCATCGGCCACTTCGCCAACAAGAGATTGTTCTTCCGTAATTTTGACGTACACATTAATTTACGCGCTACAATAATCACACGTGTAATCGCGAAAAGCAAAGAGCTGCGATCGACAATCGATGAAGTGTATAAAACAATCACGTGTTGCGGAATCAAGATCCGTCCAAACGGTATGCAGATTCTTATTGATAGACCGTGTATGTACGAGCAACCGCAAAAGTGACGGAACTAATATGCTCGTGATAAGTTTCTCTTGTTTCTGGATGCATCTTGACACACGTACGAGAACACGCGCGCACCGTACTGCACACGCGGAACAAAACATGTATATAGCGTGATCGAAGGTGCGCGATGGAGGGGAAAACGATACGGCGGGGATGAGACTCCGGGGCCGATAATACGTGATTACGCAAATTCTTTAACATGCATTTTGCAACGAGACCTGATGCACCTTGAGGTCAACGTAGTGAGCGCGGATCTAAGTTACGGTGGATGCACGATCTGGCTCAATGGTTGAGCGCGCGCGCACACATACACGCACACACGTTTTGATATACAGACAGATATATATATATATATACGCGTGGCTCGCCTTCTTATGGGAATGAGAAGCGAGTCGAAAGTGCCGACGAACTCGATCACGAAAATCCTATTAGTATCTGTCCCGCCGAGATCGAGTACTCCGTGTTCTCTCCGTTCGTCGATATATACCGGTAAAGCGCGAGCTTTCGCCGCCTTGTACGTCTAATGTAACATGTGACCGATGATTCCGATAATTTCGCGCGGGAATCAGCCTCGTCGAAAGTACAGTCATTAAGAATGTTAATTTTGAACAAAACAGAATTCGTTTAAAATGTATAAAAGATTCATAAAATATATTTTCGTGAATATAAATAACAATTTTTCAATTTGCTTATTACCTGTGTCAATTCCGCCGTAATAAACATTTCTGTTTGCGGAATATTGTGAATAATGAAGGCGAACAATAATCGTATTAAAATATCAATTCGTATCGGCCGCGGTCTTTGATTGGCGCTGAACGGCCAATCGGCGTGCTCGCGGCATCTTAATGAGCAGTTAGCTTAATTGCAAGTGGTAATGGACACCAGAGATGGAGGAGGAAAGGGAGAGCCTCGATAAAAGTCCACTGTCACGGGGTGACGACGCGGCGCGACACAATTCAATTTAATAAACAGCGTGGCGAGCAATAACTCCGTGTCGTAAAAGCACGTGGGACACGCACGTGAGCCGGTCGGCGCGCGCACTGCGCGCGGGGTTAAGAGAGGTAATCGCGGGCCGCGCGTTGAATTTTAATTAAAACCAACTCTCCGCGCGGGAATGTGCGCGTGCGCCAACGCGCCTCAGTATATCGGCGAAATAAAACTCGAGAAAAGATATGAAAAGTATATTTAAATTAATAAAAAAAAAAATTGTGTTTCTTTGTGTTTTATTAATTTACGTGCAGACAAATGCGTCGAAAGAAAGGTTACCGAGAAATCTTGACACTTGCTCGTTGATTCTCATCACGCGACTTAATTAACCGCATTGCTTTCGAGTTGTTGATAAAACGCGTAATTGCGACGCTGTACGAGATGGCGATCAGATATCCGCTTTTCGCTTATCGCAAATTATTTCAACAAGTGCCGATAAAGTTCACAGAGGGGGGAAGAGAAGGAATTACGACGCAAGGAATCGCATGTACTTCATAAGGATTACGTGTGTACATACTTCGCGAAAGGATCGAGCTTATAGGGTGTAGCAAAGTCGGCTATCGCGATTGATGGCACGGCGTGTACACAGAAAGAGATAAGTAGTTACCGCGGCTAAGTCGGCAATTTATATCGTAACAGGACGCCCGCTGCGCACGAACTTTCGAATCGAGATAAAGAGGTGGCTTCGCGCGCCAGCGGCCCGCGATCTCTAAGTCATTCGCAGAGAGTTCGTTCTCGTTCTCTCGCGCGCAGAAGGTATCTTTCTCGCTGTCAAGATGGAGAACGTGATATCGGAACACGAGCGATCTTAAGAAGAGCACGAGTCGTCGCGCGAGGTGATCCGGGAATGAACTATCAAACGTGTTTTTCGGCGCGTGTTATGTGTCGATATCGAATTGTCACTCATTAAATCATCAAAAAAATCAACTACAATCAAGAATATTTCTACGTAACAATTAAAAGACACATGAGTCTACGTCAGTTCATGTCAATTGAAAAATAAATATCAGGATTGTGATTGTATCGCTAATAATCGCGATTTAAACTTGTTCCGACGGCGACTTGCTAATTGAGAAAATAAGCTCTCGCCAAAGAAAGATCAAAGCCTGACGCTAAATCTACGAGAGAATCCTTCTCGTCTTTTAAAGCTTAAGCTTCTTAGGGTTTCTTCCAACATCGTCGTCGTCATCGCGTTTTCGCTCGTCGTTATTCTTGTCGTTGACAACGGTGTCGCCAAAAGCAAAACCGACAACTGAGAAGGGAAGGGGCGGAGAAAAAGACGGAAGGGAAGCCGGGGTCGCCATAACTACAAATTGCATCGTTACACGCAAATTACGCGATTACTCTGTACGAGCCAACCATCGTGGACGGCCACGCAACATATGTGAGTTCCGTGAGTAGCGCGAGAGAAACGAAAGAAAGAGAGAGAGAGAGAATAAGAAACGAATACAACGGAGAATGAAAAGAAGGAGAGAGTAAGCTCGCTCGTAGCACACAACTACCGTTTATACTTTCAGATTGTAGCTTGCGCACTCGCCGCGAGCTCAAATTGCTCGCGTCATTGAATTTTCATTGCTCGAGCTGGTCCTTCGCGGCCGACACGACGCGCTTTTCTCTCGGCAGGACTACAACGCCGTCGTCAGGATTACGATGCGAGTTTTTTAAGAGATGCTAAAATTAAAGTTTAACAGATATTTTACACGGCAATAAACTAAAAATAATTTCCTTGCTTTTCGTAAATCGCGACTTAACTCTGAACGATCAATTACTCAGGTATAAAATTTTGTAAATATAATAAGCGCAAAATCTTGAAAAGGGATTATACCATTCGACTTTTAATTAAAGTTCTACGCGGCGGAAGAGCTTGGCGTTTATGCGTTTCTACATTATCATTATAATGACACTTTGCCGTTGCTTTCCATAGTATAATTCGCAAAAAAGAGACGCCACCTGGAGAGTCTTCGGAAGCTCCGATCGGCTTATTGCCGCGCCTAATGAGAAGTTGATTTAATTTTAATAGGTCGCGTTGCTCACGTAGTCGCCCCGGTAATTACGTCGCGACGTCGTCCTCGTTGACGCATAGAACCGCAACGCTTGATCGATTCACGCAGTTCGTTCTGACATACACTGTTTCTAGGCAGCATCGTTCCTTGATTAACTCTGACATATATGCGTATAATGAACCGTCAAAATTACTTTATCATCATAAAAAGAGCCAGAGAGAGAAGGGAAGAAAAAGAGAGAAAGCATCATTTATTTCAGCGCTTCTAGGACGAGTCCCCTTAAAGCGCAATAAGTATTATTATTATTAATAAGTACAAGATCAGAAAATAATTAATTTTAAACATAAGTCAAAGTAAACTAATGTAAAGCAGTAATATAAAGAGTAATAAAATAATATAAAGAGAAAGAGAGAGAGAGAAAGAAAATCAATATTGACAACAAAATTTATACAAAATTTATTATTTTTTTTAAATTTATTTATTCTTCATTATCGTCGCGAATAGATCATGCATTTGTTGTAATTGTTTTATAGACACTGAAGAAGATTCTATAGTGAGTCAAAACGCGTGTATCATTGTTAAATCTTCGGAATAAAAAAGAATTTTACCCGAGCATCAAGCGTACAGCTTGTTATTGCTTCCTCCCTATTTTTTTAAAACAACACTAGCTGAAAACATATAAAAATTTATACATTTATCAACATTAAAAGAAAATTACAAAGTTTTTGTATTTATAAGAAAACAATAATATTAAACAATAATTATCCTGTCTTCTTTTGCGTGAGTTATTGTGTAAGATTCTTTTGCGAAGTTAATCCTGCCAAGGTTAGAATAGTGCGGTAAACGAAAGAAATAAAGCACACACTAGACAGCTCGTTGCAGTCTTAATAAGAAGGAAGCAACTCGTATGAGAAGATCGCGAGAAAATGACTACGCTCATAAAGAATCGAGTAAAAAGGATCCAGGAATGCGCGAGAGTCGGAAAGGAGAATCTGAGAGTAGAATGTGAAGTGTGCGTATACTTATGAGAAGAGTGAGGATGTATTTGTTTAAGCTCCGAAAAATTTTGCTCTCGATTTTTCTTTACACGATGCTATTTATTTCAATTTGTTGCAAATTGTAATCCTTTACAAGGACAGACATGGATCTCCTAAATCTACTCAACAATTTCAAACCAGTGTCTCTAATAAAAATTAGATTCTTAACGCTTATATCTTCAAAGCTACTAGAGATTTTTTCACTTTGTTTTGTGATCG